AATAGAATAGAATAGAATAGAATAGAATTCTTTCTTGGCCAAGTGTGATTGGAGATGCAAGGAATTTGTCTTTTGGTGCAAATGCTGTCAGTGTCCATAAAAGAAAAGATACATTCGCCAAGAGTCAAGGATCATAAGGTGCAACACTTAATGATAGTCATAGGGTACAATCAGCAATCAAATCATACTAGGAAACAGTCAATATAGATCGTAAGGATACAAGCGACAAAGTTACAGTCATACAGTCACAAGTGGGAGGGGATGGGTGATAAGGAGGGGATGAGAGGATTAACAGTAATAGTAGTGCAGACTTTGTAAATAGTTGAACATATAGCTGAATTTGTGATCAGGTTTTACAAATTACCACACATTCCTGCAACGACATGTGTGTGGGGGAAGAAAAGACGGGGGGGAAATAATTAACTTAATGGTGAGATCCTAAAAAACAGATCAGAAGTACAGGCGGTCCTTGACTTACAACGGTTCATTCAGCGACTGTTCAAAGTCGCGGCAGCACTGAGAAATATGACTTAGGATCATTTTTTACACTTAATGACCAATTGCAGCATCCCCACAGTCACACGATCCAAATTTGGGACGCTCGGTAGCTGTCCCGTATTTATGACGGTTACAGCATCCTGAGGTCACGTGATATCCCCTTTTGCCACCTTCTGACTAGCAAAGTCAATGGGAAAGTCTGATTCACTTAACAGCCATGTTGCTAAATTAACAATGGCAGTGATTTGCTTAGCAACCGTGGCAAGAAAAGTCATAAAATTGAGCCAAAACCCACTTAACCAATGTTTCACTTAGTGTTGTGGCTTGTCAGCGGCCAGCAGAGCTGGCAGCAGACTCGGACAGTGAGGAAGTTGGGGAGGAACATGGACCAGCCCTGGAGTTTGGGGAAGGGTCAGACGAGGGCTCTGCATCGGAGACAGAGATGGGGACAGGGCCATCTGACAGTTATCAGCTGCCTTTTGAATCAGAGATCAGTGGAGAAGAAGAACAGCTGGAGCCTGTTCCCAGTGTGCGCATGCACAGAGCTGCCAGAAGAAGGGAACAGTTAAGGAACAAGGGTTGACTCAGGAGTAAAGGCACAGGTGGATGGAGGGAATAAAGAGGAGTGAAAAGGAAGTGGGGTTTGCAGGAGGCAATTAGTTCATTTAATTAGAGTGAAGATTTGTTCCTGACTCCTTGCCAAAGTCTTTTCTGCTATAGCATTGCGCTTGGAAGCTATCGCCCTGGCAACTCTCCAAGTCCGTTAAAGTCTGTGATTGTAAATAACTCTTGAAAGACTGTTTGCTGGTTGTGAATGATAGGAATTCACATTAGCCTAAATAAAAAGGGTTTGGTTGGGACAAGGAGTCTACTTCATGATTTTGTGAAGCCTAGGTCAAAACACTTAGCAACAGAAATGATGCACTCAATTCTCGTCGTTAAGTCAAGGGTTCCTGGATTGTCATAAGTCACTTGGAAAGACTTCAACCCCATTTTATCGTTTCAGGTCCATCAGTGGGAAGAAGCTCTGCTCCAGCTGTGGACTCCCCCTCGGAAAAGGAGCCGCTATGATTATTGAAAGCCTTGGTCTTTATTTCCATATTCAGTGCTTCAGGGTAGGTGTCCCTCCATCATCTTTGCTCTTTGTGGCCAAAGCCTACCCATCCAAGATGTCTTCTCCTCAATTAAAACTTGTATTTGTTTATCTGAGTATAAAATACAAAGGAAAAAAACATGGAAAAGTAAGAAGAGAGGAAGGGGAAAAGAGGGGCATAGTGTTGAACCATGTTTCCCTGAAAATATGACCTACCCTGAAAATAAGCCCTAGCCATTTTTTTTTTCTGGGGTCAAAAGAAAATAAGACCTGGTCTTATTTTCAGGGAAACATGGTAATGGAAGGGGTAAAAAAGGAAAAAGGCACCAACTTCCAACTCTCTGGCACAGTCAAAGGGTAACAACATTACAATTAAAAATTTTTGCTTTTACAAAGCCATATAACAATAAGCCTAATATACAAAAACAGAATCAAAAGTTTTGTGGTTTTTTCCCCCTCATTGCAAACACAAAATCAGAAAGCAAATTCAAACTCAAAGTTAAATATTATCTCTTATTTGGATAAAAGAAACATTTTAACTCTCTCAGCTTCCCTTGCTGTGGGGAATAATATATCATTCATGCTCCTGTTTTTAAATCTAGTCCATAATATTTTACCAACTTTAAAATATTGTTCAGTGTTACTTAAAAAAACATCATGCCTGCGTATACATACATACTTATTTTATACATACAAAACTAACTTAAAGTTTTCTAACAATACATATATCATTTTTTTAAAAAAAATCCATCCTAATGAATTAAACCATATTTAAGTCCCTCCCTCCAGCTTATATTCATAGAATAGAATCTTTTTCTTCTTGGGAGAGTTTATCACGTCTTCTTTCTTTAAAGAAGTTCTCAGCTTTATTTATATCCATTAAAAAAAAGTTCAAAAGTTGTTCTGTTGGATGTTGTAAATTGGTCTGAGGTAAATCTTCCTGAGGTCTGAGGTAAATTGGTCTGAGGTAAATCTTCCTGAGGTCTGAGGTAAATTGGTTTGAGGTAAATCTTCCTCAGGTCTGAGGTAAATTTTCCCTCACTGAGATAGCTATCATATCTTTTTGTCTTGAAGAATTCCCAAGAGGTCAAGTTTGGGACTTTCACTTTATGGACATTAACCAACCAAGGTGTCTTCTCATGGTGAAGACAAGAAGATGCCTTTAATTCTTGGGACAAACTTATAGATTAAATTGTCGGTAGTACCTCTATGGAGTTCTTCAGTTGACTTTCTTCAAGGCTCTTGATGGTTCTGTGTAATTTATAATTTAGTTAGGGTTCCTCTTCCTTTTCACCAATTCCAGTAGTTTTCACACGGGGAGATGAATAATTGTCTGCCACATCGATTCATCGCTGCCCCTTGTCTTTTATCCCCAGAGTTAGGGAGGGGCTTTGCTAGCAGAGGTGGCTCTTCTATCCCAAGGACCAGCCCATGGATTTCCACTGCTCTCCTCTCCTCTGCCTTCTGCGCATCTGCGCATCAGGCACTGGACCCAGCTGTTCCTCTTCTTCTTCATCAGCCACCTCCAGACCTGGGAGCTGTTGGCTCTCCATCTGAGGGCCGACGGATGGCCCAGGCTCCACCTCTCTCTCTCTCTCTCTCTCTGCCAGCTCCACTCCCTCTTTCCCCTTGGACCTCTCAGGTTGCCCTGATGCTGGCCCTGATTCCCACACCTCCTCCTCCTCCTTTGATTCGGCTCCTGGAGGGGCCGGCAGCCAACAGGACACAATAAGACCTAAAACTAATTAGAATTGCCCTTAACCACCACTAAATAAAAATGTGCATCCTTCTTTGTCAATGCATAGTGTGGAATGTGTAAGGGACAACTTGGGGACGCAGCAACTGGAACGGACGTCCGGATCAAAAACGGCCTTCTCACCTGCAGTGATTGTTACATCAAATCCAGAAGTAAGTACCCAAAGCCAATCTTAGCAACAAAAATCATCTCGATTCTTTACTATGTCAGCCAGAAAGGCATTTTCTTAGCCTATCTGCCCCAACCAAGCCTTATGGATATGATCGCACCAAGGTAAAATACTTTATTTGCAATAGTGGCAAATACCTGTAGCTCAGGTGTAGGATAAGGGTCGCTGTCTGAGCTTATGGGTTGGTTTCCGAAAGTTTCAAAGCACTGGTTTAGATCCAGCTTTAAAATACCCTTTTTGAGAAAAGGGTAGGGTGGCTTAACATACACCCTGTTTCCCTGAAAATACAACCTACCCTGAAAATAAGTGCTAACTTGATTTTTACATGTGCATCCAATATAAGCCCTACCCCCCCCAAAAAATAAGCCCTAATTAAGATCCCGCCCACTCCAGAGTGGATGAGTAAAAATTAAGCTAGGGTGGGCATGGGGGGGTGGGGCTGCCCTACTACTTACCTTTGGACAGTTGTAACCAGGCCTCGCACACCCCAACACCTGCCTTAGTGGCCCATTTCTTTGGCAAGGCTTTCCTGAAGGCCTCTGGAGCTGATAACAAAACTCTGGATCGATCCAGAACTCGATTATTGGATGAAGAGGCCTTCAGGGAAGCCTTGCCAGCCGCAGAAGAAGTTCCTGAAGGCCTCTGACAACGAAAAGGAGGCCGGGGACGACGCATGCAAGTGAGGTTAGTCAGTGGATGACATCCCCCGAAAATAAGACCTGGGGCCTTTTTTGGTGGCCAAAAAAAAGTATAAAACAGGGTCTTATTTTTGAGGAAACACGGTAGCCATCATACAATAGGAGCATTATTTGAAGGAGAGTCACATAAGATGAAATGAGATTGTTTTTAAACAGTTGTAGGTTAAATAAATGCACTGAAGTGCAAAATACGAGGCGCACTCTCTCTTAAACTAGCCAGGACGTAGAGAAGAAAACTTCAGAAAACATCTCTGCAGAGCTTAACAAGACTCCCAAAAGTCCTGCTCCAAAACTACAGGTAGTCCTTGACTTACAACAGTTCGTTTAGTGACCATTTGAAGCTACAAAGGCACTGAAAAAAAATGACTTAGGACCGTTTTTCACCCTTAACGACCGTTGCAGCATTCCCCATGGCCACGTGAACAAAATTCGGACGCTTGGCAGCTTGACTCCTCTTTACAACGGTTGCAGGGGTCATGTGATATCTTCTTTTGCAACCACCTGACCAAGCCAAGTCAACAGTGGGAAGCCAGATTTACTTAACGACCGTGTGGCTAACTTAACAGCTGCAGTGATTCGCTTAGCAAGGGTGGCAAAAAAAGGGTCATAAAAACAGGTCAAAGCTCCCTTAAGAAACGTCGGGCTCGATTGGGATCGTAAGACAAGGATTACCTATAGTTAGGGCCCCCTTACATTTTACCTCTCTTCACATGTCCATCTCCTGGGGTTGTTTTGCATTCATGCTTGCAAAGTTGTTTCTTCTGGAAGGGGACAAAAAAGAGATGGGCTTGTGTGTAAGTGTGTGCAAAGTGTTTCAATAGGCATGAGGCTGGCTTGCGTAAATGGGGTGGGGGGAAATGGTTGTAATAGGCAGGGCGAGAACAACGAAGGTTTTGCAAGCAAGCAAGCTGCCTGGTTTTTAGAAGCAATTAATTTTCATTAGTGAATTAATATACAGGAAATCCATGTTTTGGACCCTGCCCCTGTCTTGTTTTCAGAATGTGGCTTCTGGAAAGATAGGCCTAGCCTGCTTGAACATATGGACACACACACTCACAAACACACACACACACACACAAATCAGTGAGGCTGGTGCACAGCTGAATAGAGAAAGCTGGTTATTTACATATTTATCCTGGTTTTTTTGAGCCTGTTGTTCTTTTGGTGGGGAGGTCATCTTGCCTTGAGATTAATTGTGGTATATTTCAGTTTGCAGCATTGTTTATGATATAAATAAATTATCTCTCTCTTTCTCTCTCCCCTTCTCTCTCCCTCCTCTTTCCTCTTGTGTCGTTCTCTCTCCTCTCTCCTTTTCTCTCTCTCCACTTTCCTTTCTCTCTCCTCCTTTTCTCTCTTTTTCTCTCTACTTTTCTCCCTCCCTCCTTCTCTCTCCCCCCTCCTTCCTCTCTGTCTCTCCTCTCTCCTCTCGTGTCATTCTCTCTCCTCTCCTTTTTTCTCTCCCCTTTCCTTTCTCTCTCCCCATTTTCTCTCTTTTTCTCTCTCTCCCTTTCTCCCTCCCTCATTCTCTCTCTCTTTCTCTCTCTCTCCATTCTCTCTCCTTTCTTTCTCTCTCTCTCCCTCTCTCTCTCTCCTGTTTCTTTTTCTTTCTCCCCCTTCTCTCTCTCCCTCCCTTCTCTCTCTCCCTTCTCCCTCCTTCCTTCTCTCTCTTCTGTCTCTCTCTTTTTCTCTCCCTCTCCCTCTTCCCTTCTCCCTCCCTCCCTTCTTCTCTCTTTTCTCTCTCTTTCTCTCCCCCTTCTTTCCCTCTCTCTCCTTCTCTCTCTCTTCTCTCTCTCCCCTTTCTCTCTCCCTCCCTCCTCTCTCTCTTCTGTCTCTCCCTTTCTCTCTCTCTCTTTCTCTCCCCTTCTCTCTCCCTCCTTTCTCCTCTCCTCTCATTCTCTCTCCTCTCCTCTTCTCTCTATCCCCTTCCCTTTCTCTCTCCCCTTCCCTTTCTCTCTTCCTCATTTTCTCTCTCTCTCCTTCTCTCTCTCTCTTTCTCTCTCTCCCCTTCTCTCTCCCTTTTCTCTTTCTTGCTCCCTTTCTCTCTCTTTTTCCCTCTCTCTCTCTCTTTCTCCACCCCTCTCTTTCTCTCCCAAAATGTAGCTGCTGGCCAGCCAACCACTTTGTGACCCAGTTCTCAGTTCTGCATAAGATGTTCTCCACGGAGGACCATCATCCTTTGTGTCCCAAGGCTGTTTGCCACAATGGCGTGTAAGAGCTCAAATCCATGGACTCCGTAGCTCTCGAACTCCCTCTTTAACCTAGAGTGGGTCGAAAAGGCCTCTTTCCTCACGTGATCCATCCTTTGATTTCCTACGTTCACGTACGTTTTACATGTATGAAGTCTGCGGCTGCACGGTTAAGCACTTTTCCCTCCCAGCCAAGCACCTTCCAAAGTATCGGCTCGCGCTCGATTTTCAAAATCCGATATTTTGAAAGGAAAGAAGAGGCCATAAGCTCCTGCATTTTTTTTCATATCCTAGAAGCAGAGAATTTGAAGTTAATGCAAACTTTGTAGATGTTCTCTTAATATGCCAATGTATTACTTTCATTAACTGAGTTCTTGGGAGGCGGTTGAGCAGAAGCATAGAAATCAACTTCTCTGTTTATTACTAAAGAGGTAACTTTTTTTATACAGACTAGTTTGATAAAACACATTGTAATTCTGAAACCTTTTACTAAATATTGCCTTCCACGGAGGGTAGGGAATTCTCTCAATAAATTATTGCCCCTTCAGTCATGCAGTCTTTGAAAAACCTAAAACCAGGGTTCTTGTAGTAACAGATCATCTACGTATAATGTTGGCATTTTCACAAAAGCAACCTATAAACGGTTCTCCAAATATCTAATGGATGACACCTGTTTTTTATTTAGCTGACTTTTGCTAACTGTTTCGGGGTTTAAAACTAAGATAAAACTCTTGTGTTTTATTTTTACTGGGAAAAATAAATATTTCCATGCCCCTTTTGCAGTTACCCTATAACCGTGATGGCAAACCTATGATAAATCAGTGTTGCCTGGTGTCATCAATCTCCACCTCCAAGTCTCAGCAGGGTCAGCTTTTGTTCCCACGGGAAAAGAGAACCACCTAGCTCCATGATGGTGAACCTATGGCACGCGTGCCACAGGTGGCACGCAGAGCCATTTGTGCGGGCACACAAGCCCCAGCCAAACTTACCTGCACTGCGCATGTGCGTGCCTCCCAGCTGATTTTCAGCCCATTTGAGGCTCGAAGAAAGCCTCTGCAGCCTTGGGAGGCCGAAAAACAGGCCTTCTGGAAATACCGGAAGTGCCGAAACGGGCTCATTTTCAGCCTCCCGAAGCTGCAGACGCTTCCCTCGAGCCTCCGGGAGGACAAAAATGGCCTGCCCCGAGCTCCAGAGGCCCTCTGTAGGTTGAAAATGGGCACTTCCGGTATTTCGGGAAGGCCCGTTTTTCAGCCTCCCAAAGCTGCAGAGGCTTCCCTCAAGCCTCCGGGAGGGTGAAAACAGCCTCAAACGGGTCAAAAATCAGCTGGGAGGCACATGCATGCACAGTGCAGGTAAAGGGGCAGGGCGGGGATGTTCTGTGCGCATGCGCAGGGGGACGCATTGTGGGTACCAGCATGCACATGCTTTCAGCACACCACAACGAAAAGGTTCACCATCACTACTTTATAATGATGTGGAAATCTCAGTAACTGAAATGGAAATTCTTCAGTCACCACTTTAACGTACTAGTATGGAATCCTTTGAAGAGATCTCCAGAATTTCTGATCCCTCTGTTCTCCAGACAAATGGTTAGGGTGTAAAATGGCCTCTCCTTGTAATAAATCCTAAATCCACCTTAAATAGAGACCCTTAATTGAATTACAGATGATAAATCCAAAAGCAGAGGCCAGGACAGGTACTTCATTTATTGACCGCTCAAAGTTAACGATGGCACCCGAAAAAGTGACTTACGACCATTTTTCACGCTTACGACCATCCCAATGTCCCCATGGTCGCCTGATCAAAATTCAGTCGCATGGCCACTGACTTCCTCCTTACAACAGTTGCCGTATCCTGGGGTCAGGTGATTCCCTTTTGACCCTTGACCTTCTGACAAGCCAAGTCAATGGGGAAGCCAGATTCATTTAACAACCGTGGCAAGAAAGGTCATAAAATGGGAACTTAACAAATATCTCACTTAACAACAGAAACTTTGAGCTCAATTCTGGTTCGTACATTGAGGATCCCCTGTACGGACCATTTGCAGTGAGCACATGGGGATGTTCTTCTGTTACGGAGACTTCTATTTCTCCATAATGACTGATGAATCACCAGCATAGATTTTTTTTTTAAACCCTCATTTTTTCCCCTCATCTTTTTAATTTTTCATTATTCAAAGAAGATTGCTCACTCTTCAGGTCCCACTGGTTCTGAAGCTGATGTCAATGTGATTCAACCAGTGTAACAACCAGTTTGGTGAGCGCACGCGTGCTCTACATTTTTAAAAAGCTGATTTTCAACTCAATTTTATCTTCCACTGCAATATGCTCACTGGAACAACCGGATTGTGCGAACCGGTCCAAACCGGTAAAATTGGATGTGATCTATCTGTTATTTCAGTTATTCTTTTGGTTGGTGGGGGGGGGGGGGAGAGAAGATTAAGAGCAGGATCAAGAAAGAAAACCATTCACTATAGTAAGTTGAAATATTAAACACATGTTTTAAAGAGTGACTTACTATCGACATGGCAATATTATAAATGTTAACGGGGTTTGTTGTTTTTTTAAAGCCTTCCAAAAACTATGTAGCTTTCCATTTCTTTAAGATGGCAGACATAACCGTGTCATAATTATTTTTATATCTACTTCATTCTCAGCCACTTCTTAGTGGTCCTTTATTCTTGTTATTTAGAACTAATTCTGTACCCAATATAATTATTGATAGGGCTGACGATTGATAAGGCCAAATGAGGGGGGCTTCCATTACAGACAAGATCACCAAAGGCTCAAATACCAATTGTTACACTAATCTCTATTAATAATATTTATTCTAAAATGCTCTGGGAAGTAAGAAAATTGTCTAAAATGCAACTGCTTTTATAGTAAATGTTACATTTATAAATAAACATTGATTAAAACGGGTGGTGTTTTGGTTTTGTGGCTTTTGGAAGTAATAACAGTAGAGGAATATTTTTTTAATATGTTTTTGTTAAGTTTCCATTATTACAACTCAAAATACCATGATTTCAACAGCATTTTTGACATCTATACAGGTTTTTATCTTATATATCTTAACACATTACATTTACATTTATCTAACATTAGTTAATAGCTTTATCTATAATTGTTATTCTTATATTCTTATACTGTATATTCTACATATTTATCATTCGTTTTCTTGAGGTCTCTTACAAGTTAATTTCCTATCTTATTTCTTATTTCTGTTTGTTATCCAATCATACCATTTGTTCCAAATTAAAAAATATTCAGAGTCTTCTTTTTTCAATTTCAATGTAAGTATATTCATTTCAGTACTTTCCATTATTTTTTGTTGTATCAGTTCTTCACTAGGAATATTAGAAGTTTTCCACGTTTGTGCGTAGGCTATTCTGGCGGATGTTAAGATATGTAACATTAAATATTTTACTTTTTTGGGGAATTCGGTCATTAATAATTCCTTCGAGAAAAATGTCTGGTCTGAGTTCAATTTGATAGCCAGTGATCTCCTGTAGCCAATTTTTGATTTGGATCCAGAATGTCCTGGTCTCGGGGCATAACCACCACATATGGTAAAATGTACCGTCAACTTTTTTGCATTTCCAACATTTTGGACTTACATTGGGGTATATTTTTATATATACCCCAGTGCAGGAATATTTTAAATGTATTTTATTTAATCAAATTTAGCCACTACCCATCTCCCTCACAGTACAAATAAATACATAAATAATAAGCTTATTTTTATTTTATTATTTTATTTATTATTTTGTACAATGACATTACTTGTTATAGGATCCTGAGTGCTCTTTAAAGTGCTAGGATGAATTTTTGGAATTTTACATACTCCCGAGTCAAAAGTGTAATCCTCTCTTTTCTGACATTTCCAACTACAGGTAGTCCTGGACTTACGACCACAATTGAGCTCAAAATATCTGTTGTAAAGTGAGACATTTGTTAAATGATTCTTGCTTCGTTTTATGACCTTCCTTGCCACAGTTGATAAGTGAATCACTGCAGTGCTTAAGCTACTCACATAGCTGTTAGGTGAATCTGGCTTCCCCATTGCTTGTCGGAAGGTCGCAAAACGTGAGTCCGGGACACTGAACTGTCATAAGTACATGTCAGTTGCCAAGCATCTTCATTTTGTTGATGTGATCGTGGAGATGCCATAATGGTTGTAATCAGTGGTAGGATCAGAGGTGGTATTCAGCCGGTTCAGACCAGTTCTGGAGAACTGGTAGCAGACATTGTGAGTAGTTCGGAGAACTGGCAAATACCACCTCTGACTGTCCCTGGCCCCATCTATTCTCTGCCTCCCATTGAGTCCCATCTGATCGGCTGGGACTTCTTTGGTTGCCCTGCACAGGAGAACGGAACTGGAAAGCAGGTTAGTGGGGTGGGGAGGGAAGGGGTTTTTGCAGAAACCTTCCCCTGCCATGCCTACCAAGCCACACCCACAGAACCAGTAGTAAAAAAAATTGAATCCCACCACTGCGTGGGATGCTGCCAGTTCACACCGGTTCTAGCAAACTGGTAGCTCCGGTAAGCAGTTGACCCCACGCCGTTTCCTATCCTATATTTCCTTGGTTTTTTTTTTTCCTCAGCTGATTCGCATGGCAATCAGCTGTTTTACTCACCAGCGCTGGCATAGAAGGTAAGTTTTTAAGCTTAAAATGGGTGGTTTTTGAATGCGGCAGCGCAAAGCGGTCTCATAGAAATGGTAGTAAAAGAAATATTGAATCTCACCACTGGTTGTAATTGTGAAAAAGTCTTAAGTCACTTTTCAGTGCCATTGTAACTTTGAACAGTCACTAAATGAACCGTTGTTAAGTCAAACTGAATTTTTGTTTCTCAAGCTCTCTTCCTTAAAGCATCTTCATGTTTACATTCTCTAATCCAGTGATGGCTAAGTGCACTTGTACGCATGTGCGTGCCTGTACCCATAATGCAATGCATGTGTGCTCCCTCTACCCCCCTGTGCATGCGTGCACAACTCCTCCGTACTCCCCCCGCTTCCCTGTGCATGCGCACCTGCCCCCCTGTGCTACCCCTGCCCCCTGTGCATGCGCGTGTGACTCCCTGTGCTCCTGTCACCCCCTGCGCATATGCGTGCGACCCTCCTGTGCCCCTGCGCATGTGCACGCATCTCCCACATGCACCCTGCCCTACCTGCACATGCGCGGCAGATACCCGAAAATCAGCCGGCTGTCGGGAGGCGCGCGTGCATGCGCAGTGGAACTGAGCTGGGGTGACACCTCGCGTGCTAGCAGAGGTGGCTCTGTTTGCCACTTCTGGCATGTGTGCCATAGGTTTGCCATCATGGTTCTAATCCAGTGGTGGTATTCTACCGGTTTGGCCCGGTTCTGCCGAGCCAGTAGCAGCGATGACCAACGGAGACCTAACTGGTTCTCTCCACCGCTCTGCTGTTGGGCCCACCTGCCCACCTGGGCTCCCATACTCACCTTTATCCTCTGGATTTGCAGCATAGCTGCTTTGTGTGGCACAGAATAGCGCTGCACGGCAGTTGCTGAAGCAACCGGGATCGTGCAGGCTTGCAGGAGGTGAGTTAGAACGCCTCTGCGCCTGCGCAAAGTGTGCGTTTGGTGTGCGTTCATGCAAAGTGTGTGCATGCACGCAAAGCGCGCCCACCAAGCCACGCCCACCGAACCAGTGGGACAAATATTTAAGTCCCACCACTGCTCTAATCCCTGTTCACTTGTTACTAACAAAAGCTTGACAATTTCAGCATATTTATGTAAGCGTATTTCATGCGTTTTTCCCATCCTTATTGCCTCCAGCCCAAAAATATACTAGAGGTTAGTCCTGGGCTTACAACAGTTCATTCAAAGTTACAACGGCACTGAAAAAAGCGGCTTATGACCCTTTCTCACACTTACGACCATTATATCATCCCCATGCCCATGTGACTTACATTTGGATGCTTGACAACTGACTCGTATTTATGACGGTTGCAGCGTCCCGGGGTCATGTGGTCCCTTTTTGTGACCTAATGGGGAAGCCAGATTCACTTAACAC